TCCCCATCTCCCAATCCGACAGCTCCGCCCCCCTTAATGCCCTATTCTTAATCTCCCCCCAGCACCTTCTTGCCCACTCGCTTCCTTCCCCCCTTTCCAGCCTCTCCTCAAATCCTTCCGCCCTTCTTCTTAAGATCGCGGGCGATGGTTATCCGCTCAGAGATGGGCCCGTCTGTGGCCAACTAAGAAGAACCCCCCCAAGTTAAGGTGTGAGCGACCGTGCCGAGAGCTGCGTGGCGCAAGGAGAGTTGCGTAGTAAACGGTGCCTCCTGGATACCGGGCGAAATCCAGGAGTACGGAGCCAAGCCCCAGTCATTCGCGGCTCTGGCTGGGTGAGACCGCGCGACCGCGATACTCGTGGGAACAAAAATGAGTGAAAACGAAAATAAAATCACCCCCAAGTCAGTCTCCAAGAGCAAAGCCTCCTCTGAAGGCAAACGCCCAGGAGAATCTTGCAGTGCGGGAGCGGGCTCAAAAGCCCCAAAATACCGTGTAAGATATAGCGGGGCTGCTAGGCGCCGTTATAATAAAGAGATGCTAGCCGGGGAGAGTGGGGCCAATAAGGCCCCCTCTACCCCTGCAGCCTCTTGTTCAAAAGGTGGAGCTGGGGGTGGGGATGCTTCGGGTGGCGCGGCACAGCGCGCCAGGCCGGAGTACACTACTCCCAGCTCCTCAGAAAATTACCACGGCAAGAGACCCAAAAATGAAGGGTCGTATGCACAGGCGACAAAAGGTCTTGTCAGGATGGCTCTCGTATTGGAGGGCTACCCTGACAAGAAAATGGGAGCCGGTGAGGTGGTTGAGATCAGAAAAATGGTCAGGTCTGTCATCCTTGGCATGTCTGAGAATGACAAAGCCCCCACTTTCACTGGTTCCTGAGAGAGGGATGGCGCACTCATGGTTGTGTGCGCTAACATAGAGTCGGCGGAATGACTTAAGGCCCATTCCTCCGATTTAAAAGTTAGGGGAACTCCTCTGTATGTGCTGCCGGTTGATGCGCTACCTAAGCGTCATCGGGTGGTGGTGCATGTGGAGGAGCCTGAAGTAGGAGTTGAGGATGCTTTAAAGCTCCTTAACCAGCAAAACACAGGGCTGGCAACCAGCGATTGGATCGTCACCAGAGGGACGTATAGGAGGGATGCTACGAGTGCCTACTTCTCCTGTTTGGTTGGCGACTCGGCGATGGAAGCCTTAAAGTACTGTGGCTTCAGGCCTTTGTTTGGTCTCGGCCGGGCCCCCGTTAGGATGGCGGGACGAGAGCGCGGGGAGGCGACGGATATAGAGATGGAGTCGGAGGGTGTCGGGACTGCCTAAAAATGGCTTCACTCGGCATCCAAATGATCCAGATTAACTTGCATTACAGCAAGAGCGCCTCAGCTATCCTAGCCAGGAGCATGGCTGTGATGCATACAAATATTGCACTAATCCAAGAACCATGGATTGTGAAAGGTGCAGTAAAAGGACTGAGTGGGTGCGGCTGCTTATACAAAGCACATTCAGATAATAGAGTAAGATCATGCATTTTAGTAAAAGGACTAAATGCTATCTTTCTGCCACAGCTCAGCAGCGGGAACCTCACAGTCATCAAGGTGAGAGTGAAGCTAGCCGAGGAAGAGGACATGGAAGTATTAATAGGGTTAGGTTATATGCCCTATGACTCCACGGATCCATCACCACATGAAGAGGTAAAAAACCTGGTGGCCTATGCGGAAGCCAGGGGGCTCGAACTCCTGCTGGGTTACGATGCGAACTCCCACCATGTAGGATGGGGAAGCACAGACACCAACCTGCGGGGGGAGAGTCTCCATGACTATCTAATGGGCACAGGATTAACCATTTTTAATAGAGGAAACAAGCCGACATTCCTGGACTCCAGAAGACAGTAAGTCATCAATATAACGGTTTGTACGGAAAGGGTGTCGGGTCTGGTGAACGACTGGAGGGTCTCGGATGAGCCGTCTGGCTCTGATTACAGACAAATACGCCTAACTCTCCAACAAATACAGCAAATCAGCTGGGTTCGCAACCCACGAAAAATCAACTGAGAGGGCTTTAGGCCTGACCTTAAGACCCAGCTCGCTATGGCCCCAACCAGTTTCAGAACCAAAAACAACTTGGAAAACGTGGCGGACTTTCTAAAGAACGCTATTACAAACGCCTTTGAATTAAACTGCTCACCAAAACCCAGGAATCCGGAAAACAAGATCCACTGGTGGAATAAAGAGCTCGGTAAGCTCAGATTGGAAACGAGAAAAAAATTCAGCAAGGCGAAAAGAACAGGACTTGCAGTACACTGGGAGGCCTTTAGAAGCTTCCAACGAGAGTACAGCAAGAAGATTAAGAAATCAAAATGCAAAAGCTGGAGACGTTTCTGTGAAAGCATTGAGAGCGCCCCGGAGGCATCCAGGCTTCACAGAATCCTCAGTTTGAATCACCGTCCCCAATTAGGCTGTCTCAAGCTCCCAACGGGGAATGTCACTAAGAAGGCAACGGACACATTAAAACATCTAATAGAAATCCACTTCCCAGGTTTTGATCATAACATACAACCCTGCCGACCAAAGCCTATAGAATATAAACCCAGGGACTGGCGTCTGGCAGCTGAGGTTGTTTTTCCAAAGAGAATTGAATGAGCTGTTAAGATCTTCTCTCCCTATAAATCACCTGGACCGGATGGAATCTACCCGGTTCTTCTACAAGAGGGGATGGTGGTTCTCATAGGTCCACTCACAAAAATCTTCAGAGCTAGCATAGCCTTAAGACACGTCCCCCAGGCTTGGGGTGATACAAGAGTAGTCTTTATCCAAGCCTAGTAGAAATGGCCATATAGCAGCCAAAGACTTCAGACCGATCAGTCTCACTTCCTTTGTACTGAAAACATTGGAGAGACTGGTCGATAGATATCTGAAAATTGGCCCTCTGCTAGTACATCCGCTGTCTCCGGCTCAGTATGCCTACAGGGAGGGCAGATCAACAGATACTGCCTTGCACCATTTTGTGGGCGGAATCAAAGTGCAGTTGGAAGCAAAGGGATATGCCCTGGGCATCTTTCTGGACATTAAGGGAGCTTTCGATAGCACCTCATATGATGTCATCAGGGAAGCAATGACCGGGTATCACATTCCCGCTGCTCTAGCAGACTGGACACAAAGCATGCTAACAGGAAGAACCTTGATTGCCAATCATGGGGACTCAAGTGTGCATGGTTTCCCCGCTAAAGGATACCCGCAGGCAGGAGTTTTATCTCCCCTGCTCTGGTGTCTGGTCGCGGATGAACGTCTACGAGAATTACAGAAGAAAGGCTTCCTCTTTGGCTACGCTGATGACGTGGCTATTATAGTGCAAGGTAGTTTTCTTTCAACACTTAAGGAGACTATGCAGAAAGCCCTTAAGATCATGCAAGACTGGTGTCAATCAAAAGAACTTAGGGCTAATCCACTAAAAACCAAGGCCATGATTTTCACCAGAAAATACAAACCTGAAGCCATTGAGCCGCTTAGACTCTGGCGAGAAGATATAGAATACGTCCAGTCAATAAAATATCTAGGAGTCTACTTAGACACCAAACTGAATTGGAAAACACATCTCGATATAAAGAGATCCAAATTTTACGCCTCATACTGAGCGTGTAGAAGAGCAATGGGAAAATCCTGTGGTATTAAACTAAATACTGCCTTATGGATATACAAAGCGGTACTTGTACCGAGGTTAACATATGCTGCTGTGGTTTAGTGGCTCAGAGTGGAAAAGATGAAGTCACAGAACCTACTAAAAAGCCTACAAGGTAATTACTTGAAGGCTGCGGTAGGGACTATGAAAACGACACCAACAGAAGCGCTGGAAGTGGCACTCTGCATTCCACCTCTAAGATTGACTGTCATCAGCGTTGCCAAACTCACAGCATATAGACTAAGGTGTCAGGGGGAGTGGAGAGATTTCGGAGTAGGTCATACCAGGCTCAAGTTTCTTCACAAACCTCCCTTTACCTTAAAGCAAGATAGAATATCTAGAATACGCCAAGTGGACAAGGCGTTCTNCATAAACTTGACCACCAGGGCGGACTGGAAAAACAAAAATCTTCAGATCCAGCCGGGCACTCATGCATGGTTTACTGATGGATCTGGAGCAAACGGCTGCTATGGAGCAGGCATCTACTGTCCAGGATCAAATCACAGAGAGTTTTTTTCTCTGGGTAAATTGGCCACGGTCTTTCAAGCGGAAGTCCTGGCTATTCTGGAATGTGCAAGACTCCTACTCTCAAGAGAGACAAAAACTAGAAGAATCAATATCTATACGGATAGCAAAGCAGCCATAGGAGCTCTTGCCAAGACCACCACTGAATCTTTAGTGGTTTGGGACTGTATGCAAGCTCTAAACAAATTGGGCGATAGTCCAGTCAATAGGGAAAAAAAAGCACCTTTTTGTGCAAAAATGTTTAACCAAAATCCGATTACATTACC